AAACTGCTGTCAGAAAGTAAGGAAACTGGGACATGTCAAAAGGACACAGAAGTCATCCTGAAAGTGCTCCTACTGACCAGATCAAGAAAAAAATGTGAATGAGAATAGATAAATGAGATATTAGTGATAATAGCAACAATGATAATAACAGATTATAGCCCACTGAATAAATTAGGAATTGCTAAGTCCATGCTAGAAATAAATTAATTAATTAAACATTTAAGGAGGAACTGGGTATTTACATGATCTCAGAGCACATCCTCACACAAATATTTGTTAATTTACAAAGGCTAAAGGAGTAATTTTGCAATGGAGAAGCCTAGCAGACACTGTCTTAATCAAGTGATGAAAGTGAATATTCTCCATAAGAGGACAAATCAAAATTGGTTGCCTGATAGAATGGAATGAGAAAAGCCCAGCATCCAGCATTGCTTTTGTGATATTCCTGCCATTGGTATTTAACCTGAATCTATTCACAAGGAAACCTTGAACAAACCCAAATTGGAGGACATTCTATAAAATAACTGGCTTATAATCTTCAAAAATGTTAAGGTAGTGGAAATCAAAAGACTGAAGGATGGTGCCCAACTGAAGGAAACATGACAGCATGAACAAGCTATTCTCAAATGGATTAGGTGGTAATAATAAAGCAATGTTAATCTTATGGTTGGTGTTTTGTTTTGCTTTGTTTTTTCTTCAAGTTTTTATTTCAATTCCAGTTTGTTAACCTACAGAGTAATACTAGTTTCAAGTGTAGGATTTAGTGGTTCATCACTTACATACAACACTCAGTGCTCAGTACAAGTGCCCTCCTTAATACCTATCAGCCATTTAACACATTCCCCCCACCTTCCTATCTTCCAGCAACCCTCAGTTTGTTCTCTATAGTTAAGTCTGTTTTATGGTTTGTCTCTTTTTCCCATATGCTCATCTGTTTTGTTCTTAAATTCCACATGAGTAAGATCATATAGTATTCGTCTTTCTCTGATTTATTTTGCTTAGCATAATACTCTCTAGCTCCATCCATGTTATTGCAAATGGCAAGATTTCATTCTTTTTCATGGCTAATATTCCATTGTGTATATATACCACCTCTTCTTTAACCATTCATCAGTCAGTGGACATTTGGGCTCTTTCCATCTTTGGCTATTGTTGATAATGCTGCTATAAACATCAGGGTGCACGTATCCTTTCGAATTAATATTTTTGTACCCTTTGGGTAAATACTTAGTAGTGCAATTGCTGTATCATAGGGTAGTTCTATTTTTAACGTTTTACAGAACCTCCATACTGTTTTCCAAAGTGGGCTGCACCAGTTTGCATTCCTACCGGCAGTGTAAGAGAGTTAAGCTTACTGCAAGTCCTTGCTAACACCTCTTGTTTCCTGTGTTAATTTTAGCCATTCAGACCAGTGTGAGATGATATCTCATCATGGTTTTGATTTGTATTTCCCTGATGATGAGTGATGCTGAGCATTTTTTCATGTGTCTGTTAGGCATCTGGGTGACTTCTTTGGAAAAATGTCTATTCATGTGTTCTGCCCATTTTTTAACTGGCTTGTTTTTGGGGTGTTGAGTTTGATAAGTTCTTTATAGATTTTGGATACTTATCCTTTATCAGATATACCATTTGCAAATATCTTCTCCCATTCCGTAGGTTGCCTTTTAGCTTTGTTGATTGTTTCCTTTGCTGTGCAGAAGCTTTTTGTCTTGATGAGGTCCCAATAGTTCATTTTTGCTTTTGTTTCCCTTGCCTCAGGAGATGTGTCTAGTAAGAAGTTGCTACAGGCCAGGTCAAAGAAGTTACTGCCTGTGTTCTCCTCTAGGATTTTGATGCTTCCCTGTCTCACATTTAGGTCTTTCATCCATTCTGAATTTATTTTTGTGTACGATGTAAAAATGTGGCCCAGTTTCGTTCTGCATGTTGCTATCCAGTTTTCCCAACAGCATTTATTGAAGAGACTGTCTTTTTCCCATTGGTTATTTTTCCTGCTTTGTCAAAGACTAATTGACCATACAGATGTGGGTTCGTTTCTGGATTTCCTATTCTGTTTCTTTCATCTGTGTGTCTGTTTTTGTGTAAGTACCATACTGTCTTGATCACTACAGCTTTGTGATATAACTTGAAGTCTGCAACCGGGATGCCTCCAGCTTTGCTTTTCTCTTTCAAGATTGCTTTGGCTATTCAGGGTCTTTTGTGGTTCCATACAGATTCTAGGGTTATTTGTTCTAGCTCTGTGAAGAATGCTGGTGGTATTTCGATAGGGATTGCAGTAAATGTGTAGATTGCTTTGGGTAGTATAGACATTTTAACAATATTTGTTCTTCCAATCTGTTAGCATGGAATGTTTTTCCATTTCTTTGTGTCATCTTCGATTTCTTCCACACGTGTTTTATAGCTTTAAGAGTATAGCTCTTTTACCTCTTTTCTTGGGGTTATTCCTAGGTATCTTATGGTTTTTGGTGTGATTGTAAATGGGATCGATTCCTTGATTTCTCTTTCTGCTGGTCCATCACTGTTGTATAAAAATGCAACAGATTTCTGTACATTGATTTTGTTTCCTGTGACTTTACTGAGTTCGTGTATTTAGCTGTAGGAATTTTTTGGTGGAGTCTTTTGGGTTTTCAGTATAGAGTATCATGTCATCTGCAAATAGTGAAAGTTTGACTTCTTCCTTGCCAATTTGGATGCCTTTTATTTCTATGGTTGTTTTAGCTATATTGTAGTTATGTAGGACAATGTCCTCACTCATAGAAAATATATACTAAAGTTTGTGTGATGATGGAGCAGTAGGTTGGCAACTTACTCTCAAATAATTCAGGAAAAAAATGTACTGTGTGTGTATTTTTTCTGTGAGCTTGAGATTATTTTCTATATAAAAAGTGTAAAAATATAATCTCATTCTGTGTCTTGCATATACGAGTCCCTGATACAGTTCAAAGTTTGTCTCATTTTCTTTATTGTGATTGAATCCAACTTAAATTGAAATACAAAATGTTTAATGAACATAAATCCAATACATATGGGAAAACAAAAGAGATCTGTACTAGTATTTACACTCTTTAATCTTTTTAAGAGATAACAACTTCAGCATACACTTAGACCTTTCACCCCTATGACATAAATAAATTAACAGTCTTCAAGATAATCAGTGCTATGTAGACTTTTTTAGTCTACTGAAGTCCAATTTATAGCACAGAACTGATGCAATACTGTAGCAGAAACCATAAATTACAAAGTAATAACTCTCATGCAAAGTAATTAGAATCCTCATTACACACCCCTTCAAACAGAACGACATACTTTCCCTGAGGAAACAGATTTCTTTCTCCTACTAGGATACTTTACAACATGCCTTTCCAAACTAAATAAACACCTTTCCATCCAACACTGGTATTTTTAAAACTGTTAAAACATCTGGTTACACAAGTAGATTTAACAATTATTCCTTTAAGAAGAAACCATTTTTAAGAGATAACTTATATTTTACTTGTTACATTAACTGATAGTGCATTTAATTACAAGCAGCAAGATAATCATCAAAGATATCAAATAAAAACATTTTAAAACGTTCAATTCATTAAATATTTCCTAGATGGCAATCTCCTGCAAGGCTTAAGCTAGATGCTGTAAGGGAAAACAAAAATGCCCAAGGTATCAGCATTAGACTTCAGGAGTTATCTTCTGCAACCAAGTACAGCATTATTACACAATTTACTGATACTCAGTTATCCTAACAAGAAGACTATGGCAGAATAATTTGAATTATCAAAATCTACATCCAGAGGAGGAATGGTGTCTGAAACAAAGTAACAAAATCAAGGAAACTCAGCTAAACTTCCCTCAGATGACAGAAGTGTCCCATGTGTTCAAGTCTTAAATGTGGTTAATAGTGTCACTCCACTTGCACCAGAGAGAGCAAAAGGACCTTCACCATCCTCCTTCACCAAAAACAAACAAAAATATATAAGAGACAATAGGTTTAAATGAATTATCAAGAGCCAACTTAAAAAATTACTTGTGAGATTTAGGGACATGTATAAAAGGGGAGATGGCTTTGCCATGGAAATGGGTTGGAGGGTTTGTGGATGGATTGTGTATTTATATGAGACCCAAGTAAATATTTTCCACCACTTGACAGAACAGTGACCTACACAGGATTGCTCCCTGCTCTGTTGCCAAAACACAGGGAAAAAGTAAGCAACCTATTCCTCATGCCCTTGGGCTGCTCCCCCGTCTGGTACCTTCCAATCTGTTAGTTTCAAACCATGTCAATAAACTGGCAAGAACTGCAACTAGTCAATTATTAACCTGTTTATCATTAACATTACTGCATGAGTGTGATATAGGGCATAATTCATTAAACAGTCATTGATATCCTGAGGAATTTCCAACAAAATTGGATGGCTTAATTTTGAGCTGTGGAGTAGACACAGTGAGTAGTTATATCCCACCCCTCCTTAATGCCCATATCGTTCATTTTATTAAAGGTACCGTGCAATGGGGATCAACAACATAATCAAAACAAAAATTCACTTTAAAAGGAATTAATTGGAATGATATCAAGACATTAAGCAGACTCACTCATCTGTAGAAAAAGATATCACAATCTTATCATTCTGGAAAAGATTTTAATTTTTTTGACCAAACATTACTGAGAGATATGACTGATTTAATTTCTAGGGCAAGGGATACTTTTTAATGCATTCGGAAGTTTCGCGATGCCTGCCATATTTTCACATAAGTTGAAGCAGATGCATTTTGTGGGTCTCAACACACGTCAAACAATTGTTTACTGCTTGAATACCCATGAGTGCAAATCTGAGATGGATGAGTTATGTTAGTTTGATTACAGAGATCTGATCTTCTTTGTGGTGCTGAAGCTGAGAGCAAAATGGTACCCATAAATCAGAATTCTAGGAAAGAGCTGTTTGCAGGGATTTTTGTGTTTTGTTTTTTTCTCCACAGACATGTTTGGGGTGGTCTGCTGGTGACAACTTTTAACGGAAAGAGGCTCTCACTTTTCGGCCCTTCAGAGGCTGTGGCGGGCGGTGATTGCTCAACAAAAAAGCCGCTGCTTCGCCCTCCGCCGTGCAGAGGAGAGTGCGGAATGTGGCCAACTGTTGAAGAAAAGAGCAGAGTGGGCTTCAGCACAGAAAGTCACACCAGTGTTGGTGAACTGCCCTCCTAGAAAGTTATGAGACATACAGCCTTTCCTCTACCAGGAACTAAAATACTGCAGGAAAAGTGTTCTAAATTATGAGTCATATATATAATAAAACACCACTTCTGCTAAGTTCTCACCACTATACAAATACCTGTGGGTTCAAAAAATCAAGTACATAAGGATTCTTCATCTGAGGATCAAAGTAATATGAGGAAACAACATTTAGAATGTGGTTCAAAGAGGACATATCTAGGAATCAGAGAATGTCACATACAAAGGCACAATAGGACGGTGGAAAGGTCACTGTATTGGCTTTCAGAGACAGGTCCCAGTCCTGGGTCTGGCAGACCAGTTGGGTGACCTTGGGCGCTGCTCTTCAGTTACCCCATCTATAAAGTGAAGCATTGGATTATATGATCTCAATAGGTAATATTGGAATGTAACTCTCAGAATTACATTGAACACACACTAGTACTCCAGTACAACATGGCCTCAATTTTCACGGCAACCTTGTGGTGCTCATCCTATAGAATTTTGATCTTTTAAGCACTGTTTTCCTTAAGCAATAATTTTGCTCTCACCATACTTGAGCCTTGCAAACAACTAACCATGGTAAACATGTGGGCCCTTCAACCTCTGATAATGTTTAAATACAATTTCAGTGATATAGGCATATTTCTCATCAAAAGGGCTTACTTTTTCTTATTACAGAAAAATGCTGTTACAAACTTCATACAACACACAAAGCACCAAGAAGAAAATAGAAATTACTAGTAATCACATCACAAGATATAATCACAGTTAACATTATGGAGTGTATCCTTCCAGATGTTTTTATATACATAAACACACGAACGCACACGCACAACATGTTTTATAATAAAAACAGGCTTAACTATCATGCTCCTTTGAAACCTTATTTTTGTACTTAATACATATCCTATATATCTTTGCATGTCAATAAACATAAATCTATGCCACTATTTTTAATTGCTGAAGTTTTCTACTCTAAGCATGTTGTATAAATTATTTAACAATTCCCTGGTGATTTAATACTATTTATCAAGATTTAGCACTGGTCTATAGTAGTAAAATGAAGACTGGGTAAACTAGCTGAATAATTCTACTTTCTTGAAAATGTTCACCAAAAATCTATTACCAATTAACTCAAGTAGGTTTCTGGTGTTTGTTTTCCTATTTCGTTTGAGCAAAGATAAATTATTAAATTATTGAGAATAAAAGCCTCCATTCTTGGGATGCCTGGGTGGCTCAGTTGGATAAGCGTCTGCCTTCAGCTCAGGTCATGATCCCAGGGTCCTGGGATCGAGTCCCACATCGGGCTCCTTGCTCAGTGGGGAGCCTGCTTCTCCCTCTGCCTGCTGCTCCCCCTGCTTGTTCTCTCTCTCTCTCTCTGACAAATTAAAAAAAAAAAAATCTTAAAAAAAAGCCTCCATTCTCCAAGCTGTGCTAGTCACCTAAATGCAGAATCAAGCAAATTCACACTAGGATAGGGGCACCTGGGTGGCTCAGTTGGTTAAGTGTCTGCTCTGCCTTCAGCTCAGATCATGATCCCAGGGTATGGGACAGAGCCCCACATCAGGCTCCCTACTCAGGGGGAGTCTGCTTCTCCCTCTGCCCCTCCCCTGCTTGTGCTCTCTCTCTCTCTCAAATAAATAAATAAAATCTTTTTTAAAAACTCATACTAGGACACATCTATTAAGTTTCCATCATCATCATTTAGTTGAAGCCTAAAACATTTCTTGTATAGTACTAGCCAGGATGGGAGGCAGAGGTGATGGAGGTCCTCCATAGGCAAGAGTTTGTCACCGCACTCCACGGAGATAGGTTCATGCATCATATACAAGCAGCCATCTCTTTCTACAGGCGATACTTTGAGGGGTCTTTTAAAGGGTATCGATATGGGCAAGATAAGACAAACAGTTACAACTTACTATTACTCATATTTCATTAGACCAGATTATAGCTAGAGCCAGATGAGATTTGAATAATTCTCTGGTAAAGTCAAGCAGCAGAGGTAAATAAAATCTAACCTCTGGAGCCCCAGGGAAAACACTCAGCCTTCCACAGATCATGGGGACCAGGTCTGTCTGGAGTGGCCTTTCCAGCTGGCTGTGCAGGAATGCCAAGGCCTGAATCAGGGCACCAACTCGCTGGCCTCAGCAAGTACGACTTGCCTCCCATTGAAGCTGCCCATTCCTCTGAAGACCTTGGCTATTTTTTTTTTTTTAAGATTTTATTTATTTGAGAGAGAGACAGCAGGAGCAGGGAGAGGGACAGAGGGAGAAGCAGGCTCCTCACTGAGCAGGGAGCCCGATGGGGCTCAATCCTAGGACCCTGGGATCATGACCTGAGCCGCTTAACCGACTGAGCCACCCAGGCGCCCCCCCGACCCTCCTTTGACTCCTCTGCAAGTTGGTCATGGCTCCCTACCTCTGTAACACCTTAACCTCACTGAAATTTACTCTAGATCTTTCTCTGACCTGCCTGCACATTTTGGTGAAACTCACTGAACCTGCCCTGATGTCTCACCAAACCCCTTCCCATTCTGGCTCTGGGTCTCCCTCCCAATCACTCAGCCCAGCTAGGTAGACCCTGCATCTGCCAGTCCCTGCTCAGATTTGCTTCTCTTGGCTCTGGTGTCCTCCACCACCGCACTAACCTCAAAATGCACACCCTGGCTGGCCCTTACCAGTCTCATCACTCTCTGGGCCCTGGGCTTCCTGCAGACAGAAAATCTGCCGCTCTGTCACGAAGGCTGATACCATCTACACGAGTCCTGGCAGGAGTCTCCCCAGATCAGCCTGAAGGCTGAGGTGGGTATGACTTGTTTTGCTGTTTTTCTTGGCTCTGATACTGAAATGTTAACGTCCTTATAGAGCTACCCCAGTGAGCAGAAATACTCTTTTCTAATGTTTTGTAAATAGCTTTGCTTATGTCACTCTGGTGCTCAGATGTCTAATAGCACTCCACCGCCTGCCAAAGCTGGATGATAATAAAAGTAAAATCTCTCTTACAGAACACGGTGGGCCAGGTATTGCCCTAAGTCCTCTACATACATACCTCATTTAATCAATGATATCCTCTTATCCCCATTTTCAAGATGAGGAGCTTGAGGGACAGCTAGGAAGTTTCAGCAAATAAGCCATCTGGCAAATAAGTCATGCACTAACCACAGCACTATACGGCATCTCTAACTTTTTTTTTTTTTTCTATTTTCCCCTAATCTCTTTTCATGAGCTTTTTATTATGGAAACTTCCAAACATACATAAAGCTAGAAAGAGCAGCAGCATAAATCACTACAAACTCAGCACCCAGCTTCATCCATCACTAACACACAGCCAATTTCATTTCATCTACACTCTCACTCATTCTCTCTTTCCACCTCCCATCCTGCCCAAACTGGATTATTTTGAAGCAAGTACTGAATATCATGTCACTTCAGGTGTAAACACTTCAAAATCGATCTCTAAAATATGTAACATTTCTAACTCTAATAAGGTCCCCAAAACAAACTGGTTAGCCTGGCTTTGGGACCACCGGGTCCCGACGAACTAGGTTGTCTCCAATTACTGCCACACACGGGGCCTACTTGAAGCCAGGTTTGTGAAGGGTGGCCCCAGAGCATCTGAATGAAGAGACTTTGGGGTGATTCTTAAAACTTCAGGTTACTGAACCCTACCCCAGACCTTCTGAATGAGAATCTCTGATAATGCCCAAGGATTCACAATTTGACAAGCTTCCCCAGGTGATTGTTGTATACACTAAAGTTTGAGAACCTTAGGTACAAAGGGGCCCACATTTTCTGCACCTCCTTTTCTTGCCTTTATTTATGGTGTTCCTTCTTGAAACTGCTCCCTTTCCTTTACTACCTCCAACCAGTCACCGCCCTTTTCCTGGCCCATATATCAGCTCTTCCATGAAGTCTTTTCCGGATTTCTCCAATAAAATAGTCTCTCCCCTTTTAAACTCCCTTTACACTTTATTTCTCTTACATACCAAGCACAGCCACTGTGTTACCATTTCTTGTGCATTTATTTTATCTTGTCTATTAGATTATAAACTACTTGAGGACAAGGGACATTTTTAACACTTCTTTGTATCTTTTGCATTATGCCTTGCAAGAGTCAGCAATTATTAAACAATTCTAGAACTGACTTGCATTGTCTCCTATAATTTAGAACTTTAATGTCAAAGCTAATTATATGAAGTTTTTTGGCATAAGTCAAAATTAATGTTCAAGTGAATGAATTCTTTCCCCATTTCATATTTAATCTAAAGATGCAGAAGAAGAGTATTCCTAGATCATTATCATTAATTACATAATATAGCATTTTACTATTTTAAAAGGACATTAGGTGTTGCTTCCAGATCTGTTGGGCTAAGACCCTACAGACAACCTCCCTGTGGAAAACAACTCTAAAACCCAGACATGAATACAAAAAGCAACAAGTCACAGGTACTGGAGAGTGCACAGAAGCAGAGGGACTCAGGTGGATAGCCTGTGCTTCTCTCATGGGAAGGAGAGCTGGGAGCTCTACAAGTGAGTTCCTGTCTCCCCAGCTTCTCACCTGAAGCTGAGTAGAGTCTGCAAGGTGCACAAAGCTGCAATGGAACACACCGGTCTTACAAGGACAGAGCCAGAGAGAGGATACTCAAACTCTATAGCTAAGAACCACACACGCTGTACTGAGACCACAGCTGCTGCACAAGAAAGAAAATTGAGAGCTCGAGCCCTGCCAGAAAAAATTACCTACTCACACAAGGGAAATAATATTCATCAGAAAAAAATAACTAAATCCAGAATCAGCACAACTTCATGTTCATCACATCTAGAATACAATAAAAAATGACTTAACATACAAAGAAGCAAGAAAATGGAACACATTCTCAAAAAAAGAAACATCAAGAGAGTCTGACCCAAGATGAACCAA